TATATATATATATAGTATCTTTGGCGTTCAGTTTATTCAGGTGGTAATGATATATTCAACAATCGATCTGTTAGCCCATCATTGTTTTTCTCTCTCCTATTGGAGAGATGGGTGATCAAAGGAGTCAGGGAAAGCAATTTTAAAGCTCTAACCCAATTTTTGAACAGATTATTATAACTATTTCCATGACCAGTATTGTTGCTCTTCACCAAGGTTGTGCATGGCGGAATTATATAATAATATTGCCGGCGGCGTCTTCGGTCTCCAGCGTTCGCCAGCTTCATGCAGATGGAAAGATATAGAAGGAGGCGAAGAATCGGTCGTATTTTGTATATGCTTCGAATAAAGCGGCATTGGTCCATGAGTTGTTTTACAGATTCATTCTGCGATGATATAGTAAACGAGCTGACAAGTTTAAACAAAAACAACCTAAAAGGGGGCTCTTAAAGATGCATATTAGTGCAGCTAACTTTGTTCGGCTGGTCGGCAAAATTGACCTGGGAAGTCCACGGCTAACTTGGCTAGCTAGCGTTTTCTACTTATTAAACATTATTCCGATTATGACGATACCTACTTATTTTGTCTTTCAAGTCACTTTCCTCAAGTAGCTTATTGAGTAGCATGTAGGTCCACTCAGGCATCATGTACACTATTATTCAGTTTGTCTCCCACTGACTCGTACCCGTCAACCGGTCGCCGATAAAGTTGCGTCGTAATCTCATAATCGACTGTCTTTCTGATGACAATTGTCCACCTGCAAAACTCAGTTACCGATTGTTACTGCCACTTCGGCTGTCTGATAGTTCTTTTCTAAGTAATGCAGTTTTTTATATCATTGCATGACCCCTCTTTATGCTACGGCTTCAATTCGCACAATGATCATTACCCTCAGATGAGATCATGGTAGAGGACACTGTATTGCCTGTACTCAAGTCGCTATTCAAATTATCACCGTGGCCGTTGTCCGCAAGGCTAAACAGTGAACGTGGGTTCCATTTTATTTGATTGGATTCATGAGAGACCCAGTTAGGAAGGCTACTTATTATTGATCGTTGTGTGCACGCCGTCACGTTGGCCCATCCACGTTCGATCCGTCCGGTGATGCTCCACTCAGTTGTAGCATCTCGACACTGTCGAAAACGATAGCTTTTAGTTGGTTGGACGGGAGGAGTAGAAAAAAGAGGCGGCAAACAACGGACGAGGGTCAAACTAAAACGATTCACTCTGCGTTCGTTCTTCGTAGACTGACTTACCTCACATTAGCCACTTGTATAGGAACCTATGGAACTAGGTTGACTACATTTATTTGGTCATAAACACTTTTGACAGTGGAAACGATCTATCGCGATCTATGACGACTCAATCAGCCCAATAGGGCATATGTAGTTACATGAAAATAGCTATGGAGAAGAAATGCACGAACACATTCACTCTGTACATACATACATACATACATACAGATGCACAGCCTGTTCGGGACCCTTCGATGGATTTACACGGTATCTGCTGCGTCGTACAGTAACTACAAGCAATGGGAACGCGTCAATCATCACATCTTTCAACGCATTTACCAAGAATAAGCTTTATAATTGACTGTGCTCTAGCGGGTTTGGTAGTTGAAGGTAGCGTTCTGCTCGAAGATTCGCTCAGACATAAGTGAAAGGTGGAAGCCTTGCATCATCGTCACTGAAACAGTAATCTTTCAGAGATGGCACCGAAGTGGCGTAACCTTTGACCTACCTGAAAGAACCGATATTGTAGCTGCTTAAAAATGAACCTTAAAATAGTTTCAGTAGGCACCAAGATCTAGTATCTTCGATTGTGTACATTTCGAAGAGAACTAGAACATCGTATGCATCATATCATGTCCTTACGCGAATAAAAGTTATACATATATTTAGAGTGTTTGCATTAGAGTAACAATAGCAAGAACAGGTTTATAAACACAAAAAATAAATGATTTCTCTAGATTATCAAAAAGAGTCCTGTCAGAAATCAGGTTGGGGCCAAGCAGGTGAACTGCCTTCTGAGTGCCGTTTAGCGCGAATCATACGTGAAAACTTCATGAATGAGTAAATAGCCCCCGTGCTGTTAGCAGCCACCTAATACCAATATTTTCTCAATGTATATAGAACCGTACTTATTTTAATAAAGAGATCAGGGCCACCGCTCTCCTCTGAAATCGTTGCTTGCGACATGACTGTAATCGATAGGACGGTCCGTTCGATATGGGTTTGTTTTTCGCCGACAGGCCTAACCCAGGAACTGTTAAATGGCATAAAGAAGCTAACCAAGGAGCTGCAATGACTCGAAGATCCGCAGCGCACCAACGCGATATCGGGCGATTTTAATTAACTGTAAATGGATTGAAAAATTTTCCAGAAACCTGGGACCGCGGCCGAAACATCTGAGGCGAATATCTGACTCGATGTTGTGCTGCACGGAGCCGTGCACGGTGCGTAACAGTACGAACTCGATGTGATCAGAGAAATGCTACCATAGTGGATGTTGCGCTGTGTAACGGTGACTCAGTCTCGGAGGTAAGAATTTAACCTGATTCCTTAAGCTTCGACCAACAAATCTCACTGCTGGACTTACTGAAAATACCTGTTCAACCCAGGTTCTAGATTACGAAAGGGGACGCTTCAGCACAATCGCAGACGAAACACACCAGTTCTTATTCTTCGATAATTGTGTAAATTCAGACGATATGTGTAATCGATCGGTAATATCTCCTTTGGGTCAAATGAAAAGATGCTTTCAATTGATTATACGTATCGATTGATGAGGAATCCCCGTGCTAACTAGTTTTAGGGGCACGTTGTGGTCGAGCCCCGGCATAGACAGATCTCGCTCCATGCTAGCAGCCACCAGTCTGATGGAACGTCTAACGGCAATACCGGACGTATAACTCGAAGCATAAAGGGCTTAATATCTGTAAAATAAATTCACATACTTTCTTTAGCTGCGTTAAGTTTTTACGACGGTAAAAAATACAGTTACCTCTCTTCAGAAAGTAATCGCCGAAGCAACGAAAAGGCAAGCCGCTCATAGGGAACACACTATGCTACACGCCCGGAACTTTAAAAATGTCCACCGCCATATCTGCAATAGAATTGCAATAAGAAACTCTCTGGTAAACGGAATCCAATTCGTCAATCCGAGGGAAAAATTCACAATAAACAATAACAAGAAAGCCAAACCTCTAAAGAAGCACTTCGAAGAGACGGATCCGACCGACAATCGACGGCGTTCCGCAAGGATCTCTTTGACAAGTTGTACAGAGGGTTAGTGTTTGTCAATTAAACACCTGAAAAAGCTGCGGTCGAACGAAGGCCTTCTATGGCCACGAATCAATTTGGCCTACGAGTATTCACTCTACTGTTGTGGGTTTTTCGGGGGTAGCTTGACGTACGAAAAACCTTTAGGATAGTTATAATATGCCTTGTCTACAAAAAAAAAAGTTCATCGTATCAAATTCAACTAATAAGCACCTAGTATCGTTAAACTCTGTAGTGTGCAAAGGATCATAGCTCAACTCATAAATAAACATACCAAAGCAGAAAAACTAATATCGAACGCAGATCAGGGCACAGTAGAGCTTCCAGCTGTTGGATACTCGATCTGATTGGACTACCAAGGACAACGAGGATCTGTACTTCTATATTGTATGCTTCGTCATCAAATCTGCTTTCAAACGCCTGATACACCTAAAGCTGTTGGCCTTTCTAACGCGCTTCGGAATAGAAGCCCTCTTAGTGGCCTGGTACATAGGACCTTCTTATGCATCTATTGTATAGAAAATGCTTAATGCACATACTGCTGCCGTCAGTATCGGTAAAAGCGTACGCGAATGTTCACGAGAGAAATCCATTATGCAGTAAGCTTTGGTAGACTTTTACGAACGAACAAAAGGACTGGACGAAAAATTACGCGTTGGAAAATGCGCCGCCTTACATCTTGGACATGAAACTGTAGCATACGTAGCGTAAACCCCAGAAAGCAATTTAAGATCTATTTGTTATCACGTCTAAGCCTCTGAAGTACTTAGAACACCCAGCAGACTCAGTGTTTCGCGTGGAGAAACGTCTCAATTGAACTCTATAAGCATTGTGTCTATTCTTCAGTCGATACCAAATTGTTTCGTAAACACATGGAACTAATTATGCAGCATTAGTGCTGAATCCCGGTCTAACCGTATATAGGGAGCTTTGAGAAAAAGAAGAGTAGCAGGTAATATAACTGAGATCTACTTGACATTATATCTACTTTAGAATATATTGAAATTACTCTTAAATAGACCTTTGAATATAACTGAGGTCAGAAGAGTAATCTTTTAGCTAGTAACAAATCTCCTTTGATGGGGGCCATGGGCCCCGTTATGTAAGACGGTACTGAACGTTCTTCATGGAGTTA